TCGCCTTTAATCGGCCGCTTCCCTTTTTCTCTCTTCTTTGAAAATCCTCCAGAAAACGAGACAAATGGACCGTTTCATTCGGCTCCACTTCGTCAATCGAGCCGGTCTCTCCTCGCTTTGTTCCATTTTTGGCGAGTTTGGTTTCAAAGGAAAGCGGTTCTGGTCAATAGAACTGTTGGTTTGGGTTTTTTGTTGGGGATCGATTAGCTGTACGTGTGATAAATACTCAGTTCTGGAAAGTTTGAGTCACACTGGACACAATTCAAGTCCATCTGAACAATGTTTGGGCCATTTCTCTCCAGTATTTCACTAGTTTGGACACTTTTTGGTTCGATTGTGGATGAATTCTAATTATTTTGAGTTATTTTGAACACAGTTTGGTCATTATCGATATTCTATGAATCTTCCTGGCCTGTGTTTNTCTCCACCAGAGCGACTACGTGTCCTGACTTGAATCCAACAGAACACCTCTGCGGTGTTTGGAGGAGAAATGTGGAGCAACACAAGCCCTCCAGCAGAGGAGATAAACCAAAGTGTGAAGATTGCGGGACCATGTGAGGACTCCAGCATATCGAGCCTGTCATCAGACATAAAGGAGGAAGATTAGGATCTGGGAGCTCCTCACTGCGGGGCCTGCGTTGGCATTACGGCGGATCTAAAGTGGCGGTTTTTAATTTCATAGCAGAGTAAACACTCCACTGCTGCTATACGCTGAATCATTTGACATTTAAGCGACGCTGTAATCTGCTGCGTAGCGAGTGGCCTGCAGCCGCTGCTCCTGCAGAGGCAGCTCGCGTCATAATTACAGCCTTTATCGCTCCTTTTGTGTAAATCACTGGTTTGCGTTTATTTAAATAACCATTAGTCTCTTATTCCTGCTACTCCCATGATACAATATACACATTAGACGTCTACGCACTGCAGTTCAAGCCTCGGAAAACCTGCAACCCTCCAGCGTGTCGAGAGTTATGGACCCGACGCCTCGTTCATCAGAGCAAACTGTGCACACAAGCGCTCGGACTGTGATTTATCCGCATTATGCGCAGAAGGTCGTTAACGGCGACACGCGCAAAACATACGCTGAGTCATGGTTGGAGTCCCGCCGACAGCAGAGAGGCTCCAGGTGGAGGCGGCTCAGAGGAAACACGATGAAAACAAAGGACAGACATGGACGATAGAAATAAACCTCACCATGGCTTCTGTTAGTTTGGATGAATTCAGGTCGTTGAGACGCATTTTAGGCTGATTTGAACTTTTTATTGTAATTATTTTGGGGAATTTGTGACTCGTTTCTCATTTGAGAATCATTTCAGGTTGATTTTCACATTTTTAAAAATCAGTTTTGTCTTTTTTGACCACTCTTTGGGGGTT